TGTAAAACTACACTTCCTCTTCCCTCCCACCCCAGCAGCTTTAATAAAGAGCTCACAGGTAAGAGTGAGGAATTTTATTAGAGCTGAAGGACAAGGTCAAAAATCTTGCAAAAAAAAAAAAAAAAGATATTATCAGTGACAAAAGTTATAACCAAGTAAAGCTGATTGGTATTTCCTGTGAGAAGAGGCCTGGAATAATTGAGGGTAAATTCTTCCTAGAGGAGGATAACAGCAAAATGTAATGAAGTTTGAGGTTGCTGTTCCTCTTGGGTTCCTTCCAATGCAGATGTGATTTGGGGGAGTCTCTTTCTCATCCAATACTGTCATTGGCTTTTGTGCAGGAACAGTGTAAGAACCTACATAAAGTCATGAGGATTAGTGGGAAATCCCATTGTTTCAGTGCCCCATAAGCTTTCTCACTTGACATGAAATCTTCATGTCCTGGATAATACAACTCTTCTGTGTTGCCAGTGGTTGAAGAACCTTCTCCTGCACTTGATCAGAGCCTCCTTCACCTCCTTATTCCTCAGGCTGTAGATAAATGGGTTAAGCATGGGGTTGACCACAGCATAGAGGATGGAAGCCACCTTATCCAGGCTCCTGTGGCTAGATGGAGGTTGTAGGTACATGAAGAATGCTGACCCATATAACAAGGCAACAGCCATCAAATGGGAGGTGCAGGTATGGAAGGCTCTGGCCCTGCTCTGTGCTGAGCACACCCTCAGCACGTTGCGGATGATAGAGATGTAGGAGAGCAAAATGATAACGCTCGTACCCACTACGTTGATGGTGACGAAGGCAAAGATGACCATCTCACTGCTGTGTGTGTCAGAGCACACGAGCTTTAGCACAGGAACAACGTCACAGAAGAAGTGGTCAATGCGGTTGGGACCACAGAAGGAACCTCCAAACGTGCACCATGTGCAGATGATGGCACTGAGGAAGGCAAATGCATAGGATGATGCTACCAGCTGCCAGCAGACACGTCTGGAGATGATGGTCACGTAAAGCAGGGGCTGGCAGATAGCAACGTGCCGATCGTAGGCCATCGTGGCCAGCAGGTGACACTCAATAACAGCAAAGTGTGTAAAGCTTTGAGACTGCATCATGCAGCCGGTAAAAGAAATGGTTTTGTCCTCTGATAACAGGTCTGCCAGCATCCTGGGGGAGATGACTGTGGAATAGCAGATGTCAATGAAGGCAAAATGGGAGAGGAAGAAGTACATGGGGTCTGGAGGCTGGAAGACACCCGAACCAAGATGATAATGCCGAAGTTCCCCACCAAAATGACAATGTAATTCAGCAGAAACAACACGAACAGAGGGATCTGAGCACCCGGGCTGTCTGTAATTCCTGAAAGGATGAATTTAATCTGGGTTTGATTTCCTCCCATGATCTGGTGTTACCTGCTGAGGCAAAAGGAAGAGAAACATTTTTTTAAAAACGGAGATTCATTTTTGGACCATGTTTAACTACAGTCAATCACCACTGTAAGTGCCACATTTTGGTTGAATTCATATACTGTACTATATTTTTAACCCAAAATCGTACGGTTTTTGGTTTTCAGTTAGTGTATTTATAAGAGAACAGGAAGCACACTGAAGTAACAAATGGCATTTTTGGTTTTCTATGCTCTAACACTTAAAACGATGGATTTATTTAGGCACTTTTGGACCATATTTTAATCCAAACAATGACCAGTTTAACTGCCACATTACTGTATATACTACTATATTAACTAACCCAAATTATATATATTTTATGTTATTCAACTGAGGTATCTTGAAAAGAACATGGACTGCATTCAAGGCACAAATGCTATTTTCAGTGCTAGGACTCTTAAAACTATGAATTTATTCAAGCACATGTGTTTTCAGATTAAAGAAAAGAATCAGATCTTTCTTCACTTTCACTTTTCAGTATTCAGAGTTAATTTGGTCAGAAGACACCTGAAAACCTCATAGTAGCGCATGTGATCCGGGGGAAAGAAAGTCCCAGTCCTAGTGAAATCCATCTTACACATGAATAAACTGCACACATTTTCCCTTGGCTTTTAGTTATCATTCCAGTCACCAAATCACATTTATTAAACTATTTGAGATTATTCGTAACAGATAAAATTCACATGATTTATACCTTTCTGAGCTCCAGCACACTGAAGCATCCTAAACCTATGAGCATTAAGCTGCTTGCATTGAAAAGGAGTTGATGTTACAATGTACTTATTTGTTAGTGACTATATTCTGCTGACAATCTGCAATGTTGCATTTCTTTATAACAAAATAAGATTCATCCTCATTTAACTCTTGAATAAATTGGTGCATGTTTCTTTTGCTGCATATGTGAAAGAAAACAACCTGCATTCACCATTGCTCCCTCTAATTATAAAGAAAAAACACACTGGTAAGGTTGATTTCTGATGTAGCTTTCCCAAAGAGGACATGAGGACATGAAGAAGAAATACCACTGCTTCAATGAAGGTGAGGCTCTGCTTTGTGTTGGCATTACCTCCTGTGACTTCCTTCTGCCACCGAGTGATGGGAGCCACGGGTTAATCCCCAAAGCAGCAGAGAACATCTGTGTGCCAGCATCAGCTCTGTTAAGCACCTGATGTGAGGAGAGGTGAGCTCCTGCCAGACTCCAAGAGCCCAGCTTGTGGTGCTGGGGCTGTAAATACAGTTGCATGTGCTCTCCTGGGAGGAAGCCTCCAGGGCTGCTCATGCTTTACCAGAGGAAAACAAAGAAAAGGAAAAGCAAAGGGTGTGAAATCACATCTGAAAGGCATTGTGGTGCTTGGGCATCTGAGACATGATGTGGATGAGTCATTCCTGAGCGCAGCTACACAGCAGCAGTGATCAGCAGCTCATAGGATGCTTCTGACATACCTGTGGACCATACAAAGTTTTCAGTTTGACCTTGTCAACAGAATGAGAATGGGTTTAGAGACATTTCAGATCTTGCAGAGGGTCCCTAAATGCAACGTGAAGTACAAGTGACTCCATCTATGGAGCTGCTGCTGCCCCTCTGCACACTTGAGTGCCCAATTTTCCATCCTCTGTGGGATTATCCACATGTAGTGCCTGAATGTCCAACACCTGAGCTGGTGCTTTAGGGCTTCCACTGTATTCAAGGGTGAGAAATGGGCATTTGAGGCAGTGATGAATTGTCCCAGGGTGAGCTAATAGGCCTTTATCCCCCTGAGCAGACTCAGCTGGGGCTCCACTCCCACCCTCGGCCCATTTGCCCCCATCTCTGTTTAAGCTCAGCCCAAGGTGGTTGGACTATATTTGAGTTTTTGTTTCCATTTTAGCAGGAGTTGTGCACATCTATGGAATACTTTGAGGGTGATCTGAGGTTTCTTATGGACTTTCCTAGCAATTGCTGGACCTAAACCTGACCAGGGGATTGACTTGACCTGTGTTGGCTTGGTTTTGGACCTGCCTCATAGTCCCTAACTTGCTTGATGCTCTGGAATCTTGGCTGAACTTGGCCTAGGTCTCTGTTCCTGCTCTGTTTCTCTTGCTCAGGTACCGTGGGATGGTCCCTGCACACAGTGGTGTTCTCCTTTGGTTCAATTTTGATAGATTGAAGAGACAAACCCCCTATGGCACTCCCCATGTTCCTGCAGAGTAGAACACATTACCCTCTGTCCCCAACAGCCCAGCCGCTGCTCACTGCTCTGGCAGTCCCTCTCCCTCCAGACCATATCCCTGCATGGGCACAAGAGGAGATAGTCTATTCAGTGAGGGAATTAGAGTGATCAATTGAACTTTACACTCGAGTGTTATTCTCCAGTCATTAGTATCACCTCCATTTTCCAAATATAATTGTAGAATAACGTTTTTGAGTAGGTGAGTAACACTGTGGTTTGGTAATGGGTTCTCAGTCTTAGTAAAAGCTCATAAAGCTGTCCAGCTTGAGGGTTTCTGTAGTTACAAGGTGCTGAGATGTCATCACTAAGAGATGCTCTTTGTCAATAACCTCACAGCAATTTCTGATTTCAGTGCATTCTGGCTCCCAGAAGACAGCCCATCTCAGGGGTTGAGGCAGTAATAGCTCCAGATGCCTGACTTGTGAAGTCCCTTAGGCAACTTTCCAATTATATTTAAAGGGGGGAGAAAACAAGACTGGTATGGGGTGATGTGCCCAATGGGACTGCTGGCAGCTTATGTCAACCATCTAAGCTGGAAAGCAATAAATAGTGAAGACAGGAGCCTCTGGGAGACACAGCCATACATGGACAGGAACACCATGTAGAACTAAACAGGGAAGGAATGGAGACTTGGAGGATTTCATGGAATGGTGAAGCACAGCATCATAGAATCACAAATTTTCTTCTCTGAAGCTCTGGTATATAAAGCAAGCTGGGAGGTGGAAAAATACTATCAAGACAGAGATGTTTCTGTGTAATAGTCATGCAAATGGGCAAGGAAGATCTGCTTAGAGGCAATGCCGAAGGAATGTAGCAGTGATTGTCACAGGAGCTTAAATTGCCTTTTCTCTTTGCAAACATCTCCTTGCTTAGTGGTAATGGTTATACAGGGACAAATATAAACATGTACATAAGAAATGCCTAATATCTTATGTATTTACCCCCTCTCCTGACACAATCCTTTTTGGGGATGTATTTTATCCTATTTAAGAGATCAGCATAGACAATTTCAATAGGATATGCTCTATTTGTCTGCATTGTGGCCTTTCTAGTTCCCCTAAGCAATGATAAGGTGTAGGTTCTGTCTTTGAATGATTTCCTTGGAGAAAGGAATAAGAGGTAGGCACATACCAGTAGTCAATAGCAGTGACTCCCTGCATGGGCAGGTGGTTGTGGACCACCTAAGCATCCTGCCAAGGTGCCTGGCTGTGTTTCATTAGAGAATGTCTTCATTATCTACAGAGTACAGGCTTAAACCCCACTAATAGTTCAGCAAGGGATTAAGCCATCATAACCAAGCCACAGAAACCACCCTGCTGCCTGGGAACTGGGAGCCTCTTGGACACTGATGGCCTGGGAAAACTGGACTACGGTGACAGAGTTTGTTTTCAAGGGGTTCACAGATTGCCTCGACTTCCAGGTTACACTCTTTGTGCTTTTCCTGCTCATTTATGTCACCACCGTGATAGGAAACCTTGGCATCGTTGCTGCAGTCTGGCTCGATTCCCAGCTTCAGAGCCCCATGTCCTTCTTCCTCAGCCACTTGTCCTTCTTGGACCTGTGCTACTCCTCCGTGGTGACACCCAAAATGCTGCTGAACCTCTTGTCTGAAAGGAAGACTATTTCTTTTGCTGGCTGCTTCCTGCAGCTCTATTTTTATGCTGCTTTTGCAATCACAGAGTGCTACCTCCTGGCTGGGATGGCATATGACAGCTATGTTGCCATCTGCAACCCCTTGCGTTACCCCATCCTCATGTCCAAGAAGGTCTGTGTTTCCCTCTTAGCTGGGTCCTATGCAGTTGGGCTTTTTAATTCAGCCGTCTTCACAGGCTTTGCATTGAGGGTGTCTTTCTGTGGCCCCAATGTCATTGACCACTTCTTCTGCGATGGGCCACCACTCTCAAAGTTGGCTTGCTCTGATACTTCCCTCAACCAAGTGTTGCTGTTTGCTTTTGGGGACTTCAGTGAGGTCACCACAATATCAGTCATCCTCATCTCCTATGGCCACATCCTCTTCACCGTCATGAGGACAGGCTCTGTGCTGGGCAAAGCTTTTGGTACCTGTGCATCCCACCTAGTGGCTGTCACCATCTTCTATGGGACCCTTATCTTCATGTACCTACGGCCCAGCTCCAGCTACAACGTGGGCAGGGACAAAATAGTTTCTGTCTTTTACACCACGGTGACCCCAATGTTGAACCCTTTCATCTACAGTCTGAGGAACAAGGAGACAAAGAGTGCTCTGAAGAGAACAGTGGGGAGAACGATTATTTCCCTGCCAAAGTCGCCATTTGGATGGGAGTGGGGTTGGTGTTTTTGAGTCTTTTTGAGGTTGGAGAGAAGCTGTGATAATACTTCTGTATATTATTGTCCATTTTGTAGACCAGCTTTATCGATGTGGGAGTAATTTGCTATACATTTGCCTCTTGATAGTGTATTTCATAACAGGAGAAACACATACTCACTGAAGAGCCACCAAAGGTTGATTTGTGATGAAACATGCTAAAGTGTCCAACTTGTTCCTGAATATTTGAAGGCAAGAATGTGTTGGGTTTTCCTATGTACCTGCCATTGCTTAAGCAACCCCAAATCGCTTCTTTCTTGAAGGGAAATATGATGACAAGGCTCGGTCCTGTTAAAATAACCCATTTATGAGATTTCTGCTGAGGACTTGGACTAGTTTCTCAGCTGTCTTTTCAAGAGCCCACTTGTGGTCTCTTACAGCTGGGACATCATTCACCAGTATGGTGGACACTCTACCAAGTGCTGTACCTCTTCCAGCCATGCGATGTGATCTATGGACTTAAGGTGAATTTCAGTGCTTCCAGGTAATCCCCGTGACAGATGGGAGCATGCAGGAGAACACACAGAGCAGACCAAGGAGGCTTGGAGGAGAGAGGAGGAAGAAAAGTTCCCTAAAGCTGCAGGAAACAGGGAAGCTGGAGAGGAGCTTCTCGGAATTTTCGTCCCTGATCAACGACCCATCAAAGAATGTTCAAAGGTATTTGAAGATTTCCCTGCTGCGCTTTAATCCTTCAAAGTGCTTTTTATAGTGAAGAAATACTTCAAATGACTTTGTTAATATGCAGAGCAAAGGATTGTACAGTGATGGTTCCTAAATGTGCTGTTGAGTGGAATTGTTTAGTACATATATTCAAACTTAATGTACATTAAAGCCATGCTGCATTAGTTGCAATAAAACACATTTTTACTGTTATTCTCTTTTTTTTTTTTTCTCTAAGCATGTAGTTCTCTGTATCCACAAGAGCATTAGTTGTGGGATTTAACTGGCCAAAAGTGAAGTTTAATAAGTAGATATTATATCTGATCTCAGTCTCCCTCCTTAGAAGGAACTCAAATGGCTCAAGTGAATGATGGTGCATAAAGATATAATAAAGATATATAAAGGTATCAGCTGCATATAGAATGTATATCATGATTCTGATATATTTAACTTCAGGACATCTGAATTTCAGGTGGATAAGGCCCACCCAGCCTATGGGTCATGGTACTTCCTTAGGTTAGATTTCAGTTCTACGTAACTTCAATGTATTTTTTATTTGAAACTCCCCCTTTCCATTACCACCATCATTATAAGAGGAAAATTATTAGGCTCAAAACATCCTTAGACACAACAGAGCTGATACAAGATGAGGAATTTAGTGATAAACACTTTGAAGGTTTATACCTAATAACCTAAAGACTGTCTATCTGCTTTCTACAAGTTGTTTTTCCTCCTTGTCATGCTGTTGTAAGAAGCAAAATAAGTTTGTTCCGGCAATAACTGGAATATGTGTTTTTATTCACCTTTTCAGGGAAGGGGAGGGCGTTTTGAGCTGTACCTGAAGGATTGGTGATACAGTGGGAACAAACAGGAATCACTGGTGAAAGTGTTGGCACAGAAACTCCTCAAATATAAACCTTGCTGTTAAAATATTGCCATTTGTAGAAGCTAAACCCAACCAGGGGTCAACACAGCTGTCTGCATTGCTCTTCTCCATCCATATTTGGGTTTGTTGGTGCAGGTTGTTGCTGGTTGTGCTGGTGACGTTGATGCTTTCCTCCAGAAGCTCATGGGTTCCAGTGAGTCCTGCAGCATTTCTCAGCCATTCCTTTGGCCAACTGAATGGCACCACTGGAGTTCACAGACTTGAAGATAACCTGGGACACCTATAGCTCATGTGTTGGTCTGTATGTCACGCTGATGGGGAGCAAGGTGAGCCCAAACCCATCTCATTTGTCCATCTCTCAGCCAGTCCTCTAGGCTCTCAGTGATACAAATCAGTAGCTCAGTGACAGTCTCCCCAGGAAAGTGGTGGATTCCCTAACATTGGACAGTAGCCTTTCAGGCTCATTTAGTGATTGAAGGTTTGGGTCAGCCTTCATCTTCTATAATACCACCTGTCTTCTCCAGGCATCCATTCAGAGGTAATTACCTAAGCTGCTTGCAGCAAGTGTTTAAGATAATTGACATAGACTGCCCTTTGGCTGCACCTTCTCACCTGCCCCTTGATTCTTCAAAAGGACTTGTGAAGAACACTTTGTGCTTGTTTGGATCTCTGCTTTTCCTGTCCCTGGAGGCTGCTGAATGTTGTAACAGGTTAGAGATCTTTGTGACAACAATTAGAAGAGATTTTCCATCAGCCTGTGTGCACAGCTAAGCCTTTATTAGCAGTTTAGGCTGTTGTGACTCATGGGTTCTCATTCAGGGGCCAGCAATATATAACCAAGGTTCACATGTCTTAGAGCCCTGAATTGTAGCCAAAACTGTGACAAATACTTGTTCCCCAAGTGTTTGTGTCTGTTGCCTGCAAAGACCTGCAGGGAGAGATATAAAAGTAACACATTGGTGCAAGTGAAGAACTTCACCTGGTGATGAAAATAGGCTGGAAGGTCTTGGAGGTTCAGGCGAGACATTCTTGTTTGGAAGCTAGGAGGATGCCTTCAAGAGATAATCCCCTTGATTTGCTGTGCAGATATCCAGTGTCATCTAATGTGGAAGAGAATTTACAGCTGTAAGAGGTGACCCCCTTCCACAGGTACGTGAGACCATACCATGAAAGGTCCATGTTAGCCCTGCTCTGGTAGAAATCACTGCAGCAACTGGGGAGGCTGCTCAGAATTGTGCCAGGTAAAGATTTGCTCCTCTGTGTTGGTTTTAAAGAGATGAAATATTCCTGCTGGGATGTACTTATAGAATCCCAGCCTGCTTTGGGTTGGAAGGGAGTTTAAAGCTCCTCCAGCTCCAACCCCTGCCACGGGCAGGGACACCTTCCACTAGAACAGCTTCCTCCAATCCCCTGTGTCCAACCTGACCTTGAACACTGCCAGGGATGGGGCAGCCACAGCTTCTCTGGGCACCCTGTGCCAGTGCCTCAGCACCCTCATAGGGAAGAGCTTCTGCCTAAGAGCTCATCTCAGTCTCCCCTCTGGCAGGTTCAAGCCGTTCTCCTTGGCCTGTCCCTACAGTCCCCTGTCCAAAGCCCTTCTCCATCTTTCTTGTAGCCCATTTAGCCACTGCTGCTTATCATGGTGCTTATGGTATGTTTAAGGAGCCTTGGAAAATAAGAGACGAGAAAACTCACAAGGACAGATGAACCTAACCACTGGCCCTGAAATAGTGATATTCACTTTAAAATGTAAAGAATATTTCTACAAAGAAATATTCTGTTGATGGAGAATGGATCTTCGCTGAGTCTTCTCGTCCTGACACTCATCTGGTGGGGTAAGATTTTAATTCTCATCTTTAATCCTGTAAAGATTTAATTGTTTTATTCTGAACCTTCATGTTATCAGGGACAGAAACCTGTAATTCACACTTTTTTTTTCATGAGGGTGAACAGCTTAACTTAGTGCCTAACTTAGACAACCGGAGTTGAGTGAGTTTGGCTTAGCAGAGCTCAATGGTCTCATCATGGTGTTGATTCCTCCTAATCGTATATTCTCTTAATAGTACTAAGGGAATAACATCTTCAGACCCAAATTTTGCTCATGGTCTCCTGGCTTCACCTCCCCAAGGTTTCCAAGACTGTAATATTAAACTCTTCATGTCCTGAATGAGTTTTAGGGTCATGCAGCACCCCTTCCCTTCTCCTTCCTTAATTCCCAGCAAGTTAAAGGCTTCATCTCAATGACTTTTCCAAAACCACCCAAGGAAAGCTACTGTGCTTTTAGTCTTATATGAGTTATAGCCAGAAGCTGCTTCCAAAATCAGAGCTGTCTTCAGAGAAACTTGATCACAGGAGATCAAGGGCAGAGCTGATGGCTTGGTCTGTGTCACATCAATCCCTCTCTGCTGCTGTAGCCATTGGTCTCATCACCTCATTTTGTAGGTACCAAATGGGATTGAGTGATACAAATGAATCTGCTCAGAGGTGTTTGGGGAAGCTGGGATGCTCTCACTTCAGAAGGGGCCTCCTCTTTCCTTGGGCTGTGTAAGAGGGCAAGCTTGGAGCAGATGGCCAGAGCAGTCCATTCCACTGTAGCTCCCTGGAAATGGATAGTGGGGATGCCCTCGGTGCACAGGGTGCTAATTGTCAAGTTATCCCATTCCAGTTCAAATAAAGGCATGGTTTCCACTGTCCTGTATTTTCAAGACTTTTTTCCTTCCTTGCCAGATACAAAAGCCCTGAATGGCAGAACAGAATCACACCTCAGTAGCAGAGTTCATCCTCAAGGGTCTCAGTGACCAAGCGGAGGCGAAGGCAGCCCTTTTTGTGCTGTTGCTGCTCATCTACACCATCACCCTTCTGGACAATGCAGGGATAATTGTAGCCATCCGAGGTCACCCACAGCTCCACACATCCATGTACTTCTTCCTGGGCAGCCTCTCCATTGTTGACATCTGCTTCTCCTCCGTGGTAGCCCCCAGGACTTTGGTCAACTTTCTATTGGGGAAGAAGACCATTTCCTTTGCTGGCTGTATGGGTCAAGCTTTCTTCTACATCGTCTTTGTGACAACTGAGTGTTTTGTGCTGGCTGTCATGGCCTATGACCGGTACATGGCCTTCTGTAACCCCCTGCTCTACTCCTCTGTTATGACTCGGAGGTTGTGTGTGGGGCTGGTGGTAGGGTGCTACACTGGGGGTGTCCTGAACTCCATCATTCAGATGACCTTCATCATCAGGCTGCCCTTCTGCAGCTTCAATGTCATCAACCACTTCTTCTGTGATGTTCCTCCTCTCCTGGCTTTGTCCTGTGCCAGCACGTACATCAATGAGATGATCCTCTTCTCCTTGGCTGGTGTCATTGAGCTCAGCACCATCTCTGCCATTCTGGTCTCCTACCTCTTCATCTTCTTTGCCATCCTGAGGGTCCGTA